TGGTGATGCCCGCCACGCAGGCCAGTGCGATGAAGGTGAGCAGCACCGAGTGGAAGCTGTCCCCAAAGCGCAAGGGGTGCGGGTAGGTGGCCGCCTCATTTCGCTGGGGGCAGAGCAGAGCAAGGGTTAGCAGGGATGTCTACACCTGGGTGGGGGGAGAGCAGAGCATCTGGAGGTCACCATAGAAACAGGCACAGCTCCATCCTTCCCTGCAGCGGAGTACCCAAGAGCAGGCATTACCATGGCAACAGGGCCATGCCACCCTACTGGGACAGGATCACCAGGTGGGGAACCCTGGGGATGGGGCCTAGGCACCCCCGAGAGGGGTCACCCTGTTCTGCACCACGCTTGGGGTTGTTTGGGGCTAAACCAGTGTGACGACACCCAGGGCTGCAGGGAGATGCAAAGCTTTGCCAAGCCCAGGCACCAGCATCCGGCCGCTTCCCTGACCCCAGCACCCCGGGCTGCCCCCTGGGGCACCCCCTGGTCTGGGCTGCCCCCTTTCCTGGGGCAGGGCAGACACGGGCCCCTTGGAGCCTGGGCTGGGCTAGGGCCCCAGCCAAGTCCCCCGCCTGCCTGGGGGCCCAGTGGTCAGCCAGGAACCCCACACTGGTGCATTTCTGCATTCCATACCAGTTCCCACACTGGGAGAGGAGGGTGCTGAGCCCTTGCTGGATGAGACCCTGCAGGGCTGAGCTGCTGGAAGGCCCTGCCCCAGCTCTAGGGTGCCTAGGGGGCAGGATGGTACCCCCCAGCCCCTGCAGTCCTCCCAGCCAGGCCGGCCCTGGGGCAGCCCAGGGATGCGGGGGGCAGCCCCCCCCGCACCCAATAAGGCGCCGGAGCCACGCATTACCTCACCGTGACAGCCTCCCATTGGCCGCGGGCCCGATGAGGTTGCCAAGAGGACGCTGCATCATCATTATCATCATCATCCTCATCGCCAACCCTGTGTGGGGATGCCCCTGCCCTGGGGCAGGGTCCCCAGGGGTCCCTGCTGCCTGCACCAGGACTGCCAGCCCCCTGCCCCGGTGCCCCCAGCCAGCTCTGCCTCTGCCCACGGGGCATTGCCAGGCCTGCTGCCATTGAGGGGCAGCAACCCGCACCCCTGGCGCTTCCCCCAGCTCAGGCCACCAGGCTGGGAGACCCTTGCAGAGCAGCCTGGGCACTGCAGGACCCCCCAGCCTGCATCTCCCCCCACCAGCTTTGGGCTGGCCCTGCCTCTCTCCATGGGACTAAACACCCTGGCAGTCCCCAGTGTTTTCGCGCAGATACCCCAGGATCTACCCGGCTGTCATTCCCAGGGAACGAAGCACTCCCATTAAGGGGCTACCGTGCCCCATGCTAACGACCCAGCATCAGTCCTCACTGGCTGCCTGCAGTGCCACAATGCTGCTCACATTGTCCCCAGCCCAGCGGCACAGCCCCCACAGCGGCTCGGCCACAGGCAGC